GTAGAAGACCCTGTAGAAGCTCCACTTGTTACTGTATTCCCTTGGAGAAGATACAAAATTTTCACCTTGGTGCCTTGTAGCACCACAAGAGAATCCATCACAACCATCATTGTTCCACCCTCTGTTACAACCTTGTAACCTTTGGAGTCTAGCACACCTACTAAAATAAGATTCATCTTTCAAATCCGGTACATGTCGCACATCTGACAATGTTCTCACTAACCCATTGTGCGTCTTGATCTTGATTGTTTCAATTCCCAAAATTTTGAAAGCTTTCCTGTTTGCCGTCAAAATCGAACCACCTTTCACTTCTTTATATGAAGAGAAAGAATCCCTACTAGGACACATATGAACAGAACAACCAGAATCAAGAATCCAACTGTCATTAAATGACAAACCTGAACACAAGGTTGTCATGAGAACATAATCGTCACTTTCTGAATCACTCGTTATAGTAGTTGCCACAGAAGCTGCTTCTTGAACCTTCTCTTTGTCATTCTCAGTCTTTGCCTTTAGTTTGGGACAGTGCTTGATGATGTGCCTTATCTCGTGACAGTAGTAACATTCCATATTTTTATTACATCTAGATTTGCCCTTACCACCAGAACCCTATGTCTCACTTTTGCCTCTTACAAATAGAACCTCGGCATGTTCATCTCCAATACTCCCAAACTCCTTTTTCCTCAACTCCTGAGAATTCAATGAGGATTTAATATCCTCCACACTAATAGTGCCTTTTTCATAGAGTAATATGGTAATAAAATGCTCATAGGAAGGAGGCAAAGAACATAGCAAAATAAGGGTTTGATCCTCGTCATCAATCTTAATATCAAAATTTTTCAAATCCATAATAATAGAATTGAAATTATCAATATGCTCCTTAAGAGGCATACCTTCCTTCATACGAAGGGTGTAGAGTCTTTGTTTCAGGTAGAGTTTGTTGGTGAGATACTTCGTCATATACAAACTCTCCAATTTTAGCCACAACTTTGCCGCCGTGTCTTCATCAATAATTTCACGCAGTACCTTATCAGCTAGATTCAAAATAATCGCACTGCGCGCCTTTTCATCGACCTCATCCTTCTCTTCATTGGATATACTTGTTGGCAACTTGTCCTTCCCGAACAATACCTTCTTTAGACCTTGCTGAGTCAGCAGGGCTTGCATTTTAATGCGCCAAAGATTGAAACTAATTTTGCTATCAAATTTCTCAATCTCGTATCTGGTCGACATCTAAAAAACTCCCCAAAATATTTCTTGGTGAATAATACCGTATTTGTGAATATTACCCGAATAGTATCTGTAAACAGTATTGTACGTGTGAATAGTACCAGTGAATAATACTGTACACGTGAACAATATCTATACAAAATACACAAACCCGAGCTTTGATACCAGTTTGTTATGAAATAAGGACTGAATAGGAGTTTGTAAAAACAAAGAGAAAATTAATGACAAAAATTTTTTTTTGACTAACACACAAATGAGACAAGAATTTACATGATTCGGCTATACCTACGTCCACGGAGAGAAGACATAACAATATATAAGATATATTATAATTGTTTCCTAACGATATTAAACACTAATTCCAAAGAATTTATCTCCTTAAATAACTTCTTCTTTTTTTATTCTCTCTCCCCTCATCATCATTTACATTTTTTAATAAAACTTTAACCAAAGTTATCTCCTTAAATAACTCCTTTTTTCTCCTCCTCATTCACAGTTGTTTAATATGGGCCAAAATATTTATATTCTTAAATAGTAATATATATTTTTTCATTCTCCTCCTTTTTTTTTTCTTTTTTTTTTTTACACCAGCACTATATATATATATATATCGATAAGTTGCACCGCAATAAATATTAAAGATGTGCACCGTTGTATGGGGAAGTGTAGAAACTTTTCATATTCTCTTTTTCTAGTTTTTATTTTTTTTATTTATTTTTTTCTTATTCCTCCCGTTCACTCTCTCCTCTCTCAGCAAACTCAAAAGTTACAAGTCATCTCCCTCCTCAGGACATCAGTTCTCTCTTATTACAATAATTATCTTTCCTCTCCACTCAATATTCATTAGATTCAATTTAAACGCACTTTTCTTATATTGAAGAATTTGCAGCAGCATTTAATTGAGACTTTCTAAATTAGGTTATATTGTTCTTTTTCTTTAATTAAATTTTAGTTTTATTAACTTTTGTTATTATAAATTTGTATATATCTATATTTTTCATATATTTGTATATTTGTTTGTTAGTTGTGACTATTTTTATCCATATTAATTTTAAAAACTTAAAAAAAAAAAATAATAAATAAATAAATAAACTAATTCAATCTTAAAAGGGAGTTATTGATAAATTTGTTACAACTAATAATCAAAACCTAATAAAAAGCTGATAAAATCATATCTATGATCAACTGTGTCACAAGAAAGATTAAATGGATTGATTATATTGTCTATTGAAAAATATATTTTAACCACACTTGAATATAAGAATTTAATTAGTAATTTTGCATCTCAAAAAGTAAGAAGAGTGATTTTTAATTAACTATTACTTAATACTTAATATATTACGTATTATGATATAAAAAGGCCATTTTTATTTTTTACCTAAAGCCCTGAGTTACATTGAGTCGCCCGTGGAGTGCAGGCTATTTATAGCCAAGAAATCACCAACTTGAGCTTGCTAGACACTCATGTATTCTTGCTAATCACACATAAAGGCTTCTTGATTACGCCTACAAACTTGTTGATCACACTTCTTGACTGCCAAGAAAGCTGATGCAAGGGTGATGCAAAATAATGCTGAGTTGACAAAATTTGAGCCACAAGTTTAACAAATAAAGGATATAGACGTACATATATATATATAGATTTGACAAGAGATGAGTCGTCTGAATTAAATGCCTGCCCAGGTTATGCATGTTCATATCCAATTAGAAATTAAAATAAAAACTTTGACCCGAAGAAAGTTTAAGTAGAGAAAAATAAATAAAAGGGATACATAGATTCAATAACAATATTCCCTGATTATGATATATTAATATTCATGATAAGACCCTTCTTGTAACAATGACAATAATTTGACACTAGCTAGAAAAACCAATATTTAATGAATATTTAGTGTAATTAACTTGCATAACAAGTTTCAGCAGATTCATTAACTCACGGAGGTCAAACATGCCTCAAAATAATAATAATAATTGATAGAAATTAATCAATTTTTATTATTGACTGATGTGACAAAAATGCATACAAAAATAAACACTTGTTAGATACTGATAATTGAAGTAGCACAAATAATTGAAGGTTTTAAGGGTCGTGGTTTTAGCCGACGTTGGGTGTTGTCAAATTCATCCTCTCCACTGTGATTTTCTTTTAAGTCTCATTTTTCAGTAATTACAACTTTTCCGAATATATAAACTTGATTTTCACTAACTATTATGCCGGAATCGGAACAAGCTAGCTAGAAAAGGGATTGGAAATTAATCAGAGATCGTATCTTATTAGAAATCCATTTTATGAATTGGACTATATAATTCTATAGTTGAACACAAATGAGAATGAGTTGGATATGAGTTGATACTGGTACAAGTATGACGTGAATGGAAATAGTTAAATCTAGGAATGAATATATTGAATCTTAGTCCCGTTTTACTTTGGAAATGATTTATTTGGATTATTCAAGAGCTGCATTGGATGATCAGGTGTAGATTAATTGTATATATTCATTACATTCAATTTGAATTTAAATCTAGATACCGACTCTAATATTAAGAGTTCAGATTTATATGGATTTGCTCCATTAATTAGATACAAATATTTTTGCCTAATTGACTCTCTTCAAAGTTCGAATGGAACTTGCTAGAACCCTAATTTTAATGAATGCAGCAAGCAATAACTCCTAAACAATAAAAGGATCATTATCGGATTTGATCCCTTCTCTATGTATATTAACAGTATAGTATTGACTTTATCTGAACGAACGAAATGAATACACACCTAACCTTTAACATTATTTGATCAGTCTTCTATTTGAACTAATATTAAATAACATATATGTCATGCGTGAATACAATCTTACTGGTCTATGTTTGATGATGCATATAGCTCTAACACGTACAAGATTTGGGTACGGTTGCGTTTAGATTTCGAGTTACATGAAAATGAAAGGGAAGGAAATAAAAGGAAATAGATGGAAAAACAGGGAAGAAAGGAGAAATTGGTCAACACAATACGTAGATTTATTGACCATCTGTTTTTTTTTTTTTTTTTTTTTAAATTTTTAACTCAGTGATCATTGGTTTTGTCCGTATTTTTTTTACTCTCATATTAAAATATTTACCTCCTTACAATTTCAAAATAGATAGGTCAAAAAGTAATATTTACCTCCTTACAATTTCAAAATAGATAGGTCAAAAAGTACACATGTACCATTTATAATCCAACATGTGGAGTTTTTTAACTTGGAACGTTTTTGGTTCGATCTAATTCTAGAAGACCGCCAAAAATTGAGTTGAACAATAAGAATATATGGTAAGGTATTATAAAAACTGAGTGAGGACAACTGTACCCACTAAGAGTTTAATATTTTACCTTTACATGCAAATAAATGTATTAATTTTTGTATAAAATTTATTTAATTTTTTTTTTGATAAATAATTTATTTAATTTTTTACTTACGCATCAATTAGTAATTGGTCTGGACTATTGGGCCCGTGATCATATAATTTATACTTTATGGCTTGGGACAACTATTGTTAGTCTACGCTGAGAGAAAACATTAAGCACCACCAAAATTGCAATCTAAAAATGCATGACTGGCCTTTAATGGCCGGTTTATTCCTCTACATCAACTTTAATTTAAGTCATAATCTTAATCATGAAGCTGAAGCCGCCACAAAATTTCAACGTTTTATTCTCTAATCAGATCGAGCCGCTGATAAAGCCATTTTCCTACCTTGAAAAACATATTACGTTCACGACACCTTTGTCCCTATATATCCCATCTTTTCCATTCATTCTAATTTTATCACACATCTGATCACTTTTTCTGCTGTACTAGCTACCACTACCTTTATATTCTTCTTCTTCTTCATAAAAACTATAAGCTTTTTTATGGAGAATTACGCAATGTTCTTCTCTAATCTATCGACTGATCAGCCATCTTCTTCTTCCATGTTCTTGAACAATTTGGCAAGCTCTCATCATTTCCATGGTAGTAATAATCTTTATAATAGCAATCATCCATATGGGTTTTTGGGGTTGAAGACGGAGATGCAAGTTCCGAAACCAAAAGTTAAAGATGGTGGTGAGAGGTGTTTGGTGTCTGAAAATGAAGCCAAACCTGGTGCAGGTAAGAAGAAGGGAGAGAAGAAAATTAGGAAGCCCAGATTTGCTTTTCAAACAAGGAGCCAGGTTGATATACTTGATGATGGGTATAGGTGGAGAAAATATGGGCAAAAGGCAGTTAAGAACAACAAATTTCCAAGGTGATGATCAGATTCTCTTAATTTCTCTCTCTCTCTCTCTCTAGCTTTTCTGATATTTAATTAAGTTTATTAAGTACTGGCCAATTAGGAGATTTTGATGCTCAAAAGATCGATTTGAATTGGAGTCTATAGATGCAAATTACTTCTCCCCAGACCCCACTATTAATATACTTTTATCTTTCTGACTTTGTTGCAAAAGAAAAACCCCACTCAATTACCTATTTGATATATAAGAAGCCTAGCTTTTTAGCTACATGATGATAATTAAGAAATTAAATTATATCATAAGGTTTTAATTAGTGCAATTAATGGACTTGCTAGGGTTGTGGATGTGATACTACTGCAAACATGCAATATTTCTTGCACACATCAATGGATATTCTTCACCTGCCTGGATTGTTTTGAGACTTCATACATCAGTTTATGTTCTAGGGTTTCGTTTTTTTTTTTTTTAAAAAAAAAAAGAATTAGCCACATGTACACGAGATCGATTAATTAATTCTATTAAGGGATTATTAATTAATTCTACTGCATATATGTAATGGGAAATATTCAATATAACACAATTCAAAATTATACCCCCAATACACATGCATTTCCTTCTGTGTTAATTACATAATCCATAATACATAATAAAAGGTTTATTGCATATATGTATGTTGATGATTGATCAAATGATGATAGCTAATTGGATTATATATGTTCAAAAGTTTGTGTTGTTTTTTTTTTTTTTTGGTCAAGTATATGTTACAAATTGAAGTTCATAGGCAAGTGATACTTACGATATGTGGGACTTGTATGTCAAGCATCATTCATATTATAAAGAATCGAAGACACTCATATTGAACACCTAATAGCTTCCATATTATGATTATTATCCTTAATCTGTTATTAAATTACTCAAAATTATATTGCTTACTAACTTTAATAACCATATGACATTATTTGTTTTATTGGTGCATTGCATGTAAGAATAAGCTCTTACAGATGGTGCTTTTTGGGATTATGTGTTTCAGCTGCTCGATCAGTTATGGATACGTAATATGTTTATATTTATATATGGGACAACTACAACATTCTATATATATATATATATATATATACAAGTGGCCAATAGATATTTTAGCTGATGAATCCATGTAGTTTGATCCTTAAAGACTAAATGATTTTCTTGGACACCAGCCAGAAGAAGCTTATATATATATACCATTTGAACCAGTGTCATGATCATGAACCTAGCTAGCTATGAGCATTCCATTTGGCAGTTGAGAACAACAAATTGTTTGATTTACATTTGAGTGGCGTTATCATTCTGTAATTAATGTGCGTGCGTGATTGATTGACTGCCCTATCAATATCATTCATCAAAACATCTTCTTATTCTGTATGTGTTCAGCTTGAAGCAAGTAAACTGATGCATATATATATATATACATATATATATATGTTGTTCTCGATCTGCAGAAGCTACTATCGGTGTACACATCAAGAGTGCAATGTTAAGAAGCAAGTCCAACGGCTATCCAAAGATGAAGGCGTTGTGGTTACTACTTATGAAGGGATGCACACTCATCCAATTGACAAACCCACTGAAAACTTTGAAGAGATCTTGAGTCAGATGAAAATTTACCCTCCTTATTAAATAATTCCTCAAATATATATATATATATATATATATATATATATATATATATATGGGAAGAATTAATGTCACTTATTTACCGAAAAAAAAAAAAAAAGAATTAATGTCACTTTTGTAGAGCATATTATAAATTTTAGTGTTACTCCTTGAACATGATGAAATAAAGTTTTGGTAACTATTAGGAATTGTAAGATACTATCATTTAATTTGCACTTGAACAGACAGAAAAGGCATTATGGTTTTGTGTATTGAAGGCGTTAGATCCGCTTTAGTTGCTTATGATATTCAATATATAATCAGACAATTACTTACTTGCTTGGCTTCTTTAGTTGTTTGGTTTTAATTTGGACGGATCAATCACAATTCAGCCCACCTAAAGAAGCTCAGTTCTTCGTAACTATGTCAACATGGATATATATATATATATATATATATATATATGTATATATTATTCTCAGAGCCTCCCACATATCAAAAATGATTCTTGTTAGGGACCTATTGTGACGTGATAGTCTAGTCAAGAATCCTAAAAATTCTTCTCGATTCTCCACTAAAAATTCTTCCTGATATTCAATAATCAGGCGATTACTTGCTTGACTTCTTTAGTTGTTTGGTTTTTGAACTGAGCAATTACAAGTCAGGCCACCTAAAGAAGCTCAGTTCTTCGTAAGTATGTCAACAAGTGTATGTGTGTGTATATATATATATATTTATTATTCTCAGAGCCTCCACATAAAAAATGATTCTTGTTAGGGAATTATTCTGAGGTGACAGTCTAGTTTGAGAATCTTAAAAATTCTTAGATTAGGATTCTCCACTAAACTATAGGTCTAGTTTACATGGAGTACTCCATACCCCAATGTCTTCTACGCCAACTCAATCCAAAAACTATATTCACATTTACTGTTATGAAAAATAATTACATAGTCCGACCAATTGCAACGTGACACACAATTAAAAATTATTATGATTGGCCTAGACTATGTAAAAAAATTTCTTCTCCATTCTTTTAAGGCATCCCCACTTTTTGGACAGGACCAATCACTCATTTGGCGGAGGCATGTACATCCACAAATATTTGTCAAGTGTAAGAAAAATTTCACAAAGACTAAACCTCAAAAGATATAAATCAAATCAAGAATATTTTAGGTTTTAATTACAAGGTGTACAAGTTGATTTTTTTTACCCTCATTAATCGACAAAGTTATGCACTCCACATTAGTAACTTGTCAATCCAAGTCAAGAAGCATGATAATTAAGATATTGGCCTCCAACACTCACATCCTCGAAATTATATAAAGTTGAGTATAGATTCAGAGAATCGAATATGGATGTATGTGTCAACAACAGGCCACCAGACTCCTACTTTTCAAAGAGATGTAAGGAGTTCAAACCTCAATTGAGGCATGTATGTGAGTACCAACTAGAGAATATATATATATGAATGTACGTGTCAATAGATTTTTGTATAAAAGCATATATATTAATGCTTTGATGAACAAATTAATTTGATAAGGGATGATATTAACTTTATACTTTTCATGATCTACATTAATAAAAGGTTGATGGATAAGCATTATCTATATAGCACACTAATTCTGATGCAGTTGAAAATTAATATGAGAATGCGAAAATAGAAGTTGACCAATACATATGATCAAGGTAATTTATACGCACGTATTTGGTTGCACAAATAAAATGAATTGTGTGTAATAATGATGAGTAGTATATATATATATATATACACACTTTCGGTCTGTGTATTATGGAATTCCATGACAATCCACGTCAAAAACCCTTATACGGGCCGGACCTTCTTTACGCTGCATCATTACCTGACGTGTTCCATTCTTTAAATCGTCCAAGTCAATTTTATAATCATGTTATATTATCTCCTCATTACTTCACACAAAACTCTCTAATTTGTTGTTCACATCACGAGAAAAGTTTTAATTATTACTACATGCATTATATTAGTATTATCTTTCTAACACAATTTTTGTTTTTTTATTATTTTTTGAATGACAAAGTAAACACGCAACTATGATCTTGTACCATTTAGACTAAACTTTCAAATTTCAACTGAAACACAATAAAATACGCACGCACGCGTGTGTGATAGCTAACACATAGGGCTCCTGAATCCATCACAACAAGTAATTGGCTTTGATCAATTTGATTTCAGCTTGAAATTTTGATGGGTTTGGACCGTGCATATGAAATCCTCAAGATTATGATTGGATCCAAATTTATTTATTTATTTATTTGTTTGTCTTTATTATTATTATTATTATTTTTTGTTGAGTAAGTAAAATTTGCATCAAGTAACATCATGCACACAAAAATGGCCAAACATACCGAGCATCGACCACCAACAGGCAATACTCTCATCTCCAAAGCAACTCGAAGAGCAACACCTAGGCTCAGGAGAAGCAGGGACGGCTCAATACAATACGAAGCCTTAGGCAAAAAAAAAAATAAAGTGGGCATTTTAATTAAATCTATTCATATATTTATGCCAACTAATTATTTATTTAGTCATTTTTAAACCTATCATTAAAATTTTTCCAAACTCTAATTCTATCGTTAATTAATTGGTTATGTACTTTCTAATAGTCATATTTAACAATATAAATAAAAATTATAAACAAAATATATAATTTTATGATAACAAAAATTAATAAAACTATAAACTAATTTAAATTATAGAATAATAAAAACTGATTTCGAATAATTTGGTTTAATGCTCCAATAAATTCTTTAATAGAATATAAGAATATTCAAAATCTTCTTCCAGAGTGAGATTGTAAATTGTAAATGTGGAGAAGATGAAAAATATATATATAATGATAAAGGAGAAAAAATATGTGAGGAATCAAATAAAATAAAAATTAATAGGATTCTTATAAAAATATAGAAAGTTTCACCAATTTTCACTTAAATATATATTTAATATTTAATTTTAATGTGTGTGTATATATGCTGATGTAATGAGGATGAGAGAGGAAAAAAAAAACACAAAAAGAAGATAATACAAGGATAAAAATATTTTGTGCACACTATTAAATTTTGTATTTGTTAAGGTTTAATGATATAAGAAAATAAAATATTTAGGTAAGTTAGAATGTATAAAGAAAAAAAAATTTGGGAGCCCGCAAGAAAAATAAATAATAAAAAAAATTTTGGAGCCCGCAAGAAAAATAAATAATAAAAAAAATTTTGGTCAACTGTCAAAATTCTCTATACGTTGAAGTTTAATAATTAAATAAAATACTATAATTGTTTTAGGAAAGTTATAATATATACCGAATAAAAAATTATGAGGCCTTCTTATTGGCTGGGGCCTTAAGCAACCGCCTAACTTGCATAAGGCTCTAGCCGGCCCTGAGGAGAAGGAAACTGAGCGAAGAAAAGGATGGAGGAGGTAAGGAACTCAGCAGCTTAAAAATTCTGGATTCATTTTCAACATGAACTTTACAAAAAGTTCCTTCAACCCGAGAAGCAATTCAAGAAAGGCTAATATTAGTTGCAAGAAAAGAAATGAAAAGCTAATATTAGTTACGAGAGAAAAGAAATGAATGGAAAAAATAGCAAGAATTTACATTGATGTTTTGGAAAAAATAGCAACAATTTACATTCATGTTTTGATAGATATGAGAGAAAAGAAAGGAAATGTTAGTATTCTTGTTTGGATAAGATAGATGAAAGAAAAGAAAAAAAATAATAGCAATCGAATTACTGTCATACCTTTCATTTATAATTTTGGAAGTAATTCAATGTTATAAATTTGGAGGTTAATCTTGACATTATGAAAGTATCACTAACCTACTTTTCTTTCCCTTCAAGTCTTTTCATTTTTGGAGGGATACCATTCTTTTCTCCTCAAATCCTCTCATCCAAATACAATATTTCTTATCATTTCTTTTCTTTTCATTCCATATCCCCTAAATCCTCCCATCCAAAATAGACATTCATCTTTGGTTGGAGGGAAGGGAAAAGAAGGAGCAAGCAAGGAGGGATTAAGCATCCCTCCCTCCTTCAGTCATTTGTATTTTTCTATCCGCCTAAAATTAGGAAAAAGGGGAGAGAGAAAAAAGTAGTACTACCTTTGTCCCACATTAAAAGACTGATAACTGTGACTCAAGTACCTCGGTCCCATATTAAAAGTCCAGTAACTGTGACTCACTTGAGTCACAGTTATATATATATAAATATATATATTTCCTTTATGGGACGGGAAGTAATAATTAACATAAATATATATATTTCATTTATAACCATCCTAAAAATTTGGAATAGATATAGAATTTTAAATAATAAGGATATATTAGTAAAAATAATATAAAAACCACATTTTCCTTCCTTCCAACCAAACAAAAAAAATTTGTGTCATCCCATTCATCCTTTCTATTATCCATCACATCTAACCAAACAAAAACTTAAGAAAATACCTTCCCTTCCCTATGGATGCCTCACTTATTCCTTCCATATATTTTTTCACCCCTCCAACCAAACAAAGCATAATGCTTCTTTGGGTATGAAAGAAAAAAATTAGATAAAAAGGAAAGAAGAATGGGATGGATGAGACTGAGTACGTGTATCAACACATGCACTTATCCGGATTCCCACCAATGCCGCTTGGGGCAATTTATTATCTTCCTTTTGAGAGAAGAAAAGATAAAATAAAATTATTTTTATTATTATATTTAATAATATCTATAATATTGCAATTAATAAAATCACAGTATTAAATATTTCACTTTTCTTGTCTCATCTTTTTTTTAGGTAAATTCTTGTCTCATCTTTCCCACCCATTTTCATATTTTTAGGGATGAAATTTTTTAAAGAATGAAGGATGTACTAATTTAGGAAGGATGTACTAAAGGGTCCACCACCATAATTTATGTCTGCATTATCTGGTTTTTTTTACTTTTTTTTTATTTTATCATGTTATATTAACTCCCAGCCAAACAAAGCTCTTAGTTTTCTTTGATAAATGAAGCGGGGCCATGACATTGAAGTACATTGTAGTAGTTTTTATTTTATTTTTAGGCAAAAGAGTAAAAAAAAAAAAACAAAAAGAAAAAACCTCTAATTATACAATTATTGCAAAATGTCTGTTGAATTATTTTTGAAAGGAAGTTACTCCCCTTAGCTATTAAAAACAAGCAAATGCTCCTTTTAAGGTTATTCGAGACAACTTTTCTGCAAAACAATATAATTACTAATTTATCCTTAATTATTAATTTATTATAAAATTTTAAAATTCGTGAATATAAAATATCAATAATACCCTCGTATTTTTATTTCATTCTATTTTGCTTCAGTCTTCCCTTCAGATGGTTACTTTTTCTCGGGCATTTTGTATCATGCAATTGACAATGCATTTTCTTTACTTTTCCTCAGTTTTCTCAGCAGCCAAACTGAGACAAAAAGAAGGATAGAGAGAGAGAAAAAAAACCCATCTTGCATTACAAATCGATATACATATATATATATATATATATATATACACACAAAAACAGAGAGAGCAACAGAGATTGATCTCATAAATACAAGGAATTTCAAACAAAATTCAAAGAAATACAATGAATTTACAGAAAGAGAAAAGTGAATTTTTAGATAGAGATTGCAATTGCGCGTACATGCATACATACCTTGATGAAGATTTGGAGCTTGGGTTTGGGAGAGAGACGAAATGAGACGCTAGAGTGAGAATGAGACAGAATAGGTAAATAAGAGCTTGAATTGGGGGCAGTTCTGGCAACCGAAGCAGCTGAGGCCGAAGTTGTCGTTGCAAGAGACATCGCCATGGCTCAGATTTTAGAGAGAGAGGGGCAAGTGCTTCTGTTTGTGGAATTTCTGGGTGTGCGCGTGAGTGTTTGAGCTTCAGACAAAAAAAATAGAGAGTCTTGAGAGAGAGAAAGAGAGAGTTTTGTAGAATCCGCCAGAGAGGTGATTGGTGTGAGAGTTATGGATGATGATGGGAGGGTCCAAGAGAGAGAAACGCCTTTCAGGTCGATGTAACCATCTGGAGCTCTGTTCACGGTGGGCGATGGCAGCCTTACTGACTTTAAAAATAAAGTAAAATAAAAATAAGAGGACATTATTAGTATTTCATATTCATAAATTTTATAATCTTTATAAAGATAATCATTTTGTGGCAGGAGCATTTTACTTGCTTTTAAAATATTTCAGGACATTTTACAAAAATTGTATAGTTTACCTAAAATACAACACACTCCACTAAAAGAGATAAAAGAGTCATATAATTAATAGTGAAAGAAACATCTTTTGCAAGGGGAATGAATGACCCAATTAACCAACCTCACCATCATTCTTAATTCCAATCCTCCTGGCTCTCTCATTAGCATCTGAGGCCGTTGAGTCAAAAAGACTGAATATCTCCTCTCTAAGAGCAGCTTCTTTATACTCGCCCTTGCTATCTTGCCAGCTTCTTTCACTCGCTCGACTCTCCTATGGAGACCTTCTCGCCTCACTCGGGAGTCTTTCTTCCCTCTCTCGGAGTCTCTCTTGCTTCTCTCGGACTCTATCTCTTGCCTCCCGGTATTCTTGCTTCTCATGCTTAGGAATTGCAAATCCCTCAGGCTTAGGAATTGCAAATCCCTCCGGGTATTCTTGCTTCTCATGCTTAGGAATTGCAAATCCCTCTGGGTATTCTTGCTTCTCCCGCTTAGGAATTGCGCGCCACATCTCCATCTTTTTTCTTCATTAATTAAACAAAAATATACACATATCAGATCCTTTCATCCCATAACTAACAAGTCAATTCAATTCTTAAATTTAAGAAAAATAAAATAAAACCAACAATCCTTATGGACCCAAAAGTTATTTACACTCAAATTCAATTTTGGTTTCCAAAAACACTCTTTATATCAAAATCAAAATTCCAAACGTCATCTATACATTTAGAGAGAAGGCAGCGTGCGCAAGGATGGAAGATCTAACCCTATTCCACCTCGATTGAAAAGAAAAAATAAATATAAAGGTCAGAGAAGAAATTGATCTGTTTTTTCTCCATAAACTTGTTTCTCTTCTTCCTCTCAAGAAAGAAACTGGAAGAGGAGGAGAGAGAGAGAGAGGAGATAAAGGAAAAAAAACATAGAAAACTGGACTGAGAAGAAGAGGAGATAGCTTACCGTGAAATCTGCCGCAGATTCGTTACACAGACCCCAATTTTTTAACCCTAGCTTTGCTATTACTGCACCCCGTTTTACTTCAAATTTTGGAAAACTTTTTTATGTAAAAAAATAAAAAATATAATATAGAGAAACAAGTGTAATGAAAATAAGTCCTTTTGTGCTATTAGAAAAAAAAAAAAAATATATATATATATATATATATATATATACACACACACACACACACGGGGCATAATGTAAAAATAAAATAAAATTAAGTAATCAAGACAATAAATATAGATTCTATAAATTAAGAAGAAAAATTAGTCAAAATAATAGGTCAATCAATGATTAATTTAAGAAAGATAAATAGTTAACAAAAAATTTTAAAAAGAGGGAAAAAAGTAGAATTTGATTCAAAAAGAAAATTTTGATTTTTTTTTAAAGAAAATTAAATGAATTTAAAGAGTAAAAAATTAAGAAATACAAAATTTAAGAGAAAATTTTTAAAAAATAAAAATGTTAGCATGACCATTATATAAATTTTTTATATGTATACATGTAAAAATATATAATTTAGTATAGGGTTAAATGCAAAAAATCCTCCTGAACTATTAGGGTTTTGCAAGAAATCCCCTTGAACTACAAAAAACTCCCTGAACTATTATTTTGTTGCAATTAGCCCCATCAGATCACCAGAAAAGGCAAAAGACAATTTCGCCCTTACTATTAAACGACGCAGTTTCAAACTTGGGCCTTGATATATAATATATATATATATATATATATATATATATAAGATATATTATACATCTATATCATATATGTCTCTGCAAACCCGGGGAAAGTACTGCAGCCAAGGGACGGCGATGAGGACCGACCGGCAACGGAGGAACGGCGGTGAGCTCGGCTGGTTCGGATGATGGTGGCCTGTTATGGAGTGACGGCAGAGAAAAGAGTCCGACGAGGAACGGTGGTGGAGAGATGGGCTGACTTTCGGCGGCTCAGACATACATATATATATATACAAGGTATATATCTGAAATCTATTGGGGGAAATTCGTGTATGGAGGTAATGGTGCTGTTGTGGCGGCGGCGGCGACAGTGGTTGAAGTCGGAGGAGGAGATGGATCTAGTGGTGGTGGTGTTGTGGCAGTAACATCCGGATGGGGTCATGTGACCATGCTCTTGATTCGGGTTCACTAAAACAAGCAATAGGGTCTCAATTTGAACCATTAAATTTGACAGTGAGTGTGAAGATGAAAAGGAGTGTGTCGCCGGCGAAAGCAAGAAAAAACCATCAAGAGGCAGGTATAGTGTTTGGGTTCAATGAAGTTCCTCCTTATAAGAACTCAAATTCATCAGCCCACTCTCTTCTCTCTCTATATAAATATGTATATCCAGTTTTCTCTTCTTTTAGCTTTTTGTACGTTGAATTTTGTCTTTAGATTGTTTAACATTAATCCAACAACAGAACTAGTTATATTGGGATAGAACATATCTAATTTAACTTCTGCATCTGGTACTTAACCTCAACCAAATCAAACTCAACCACTACTCAAGAAAAAGAAAAACCTTCCTGGCACTCTCAAATCCTTATCCAAATTCCAATTTTTAATTTAATTTGATGGTTTTCTTAATTATTTATCAAATTTCTGATTTGGATTTTAGTTTTTTCCCGGTGAAGAAGAGAAACTTTCCTGGCACTCTCAAATCCTTATCTAAATTCCAAATTTTAATTTAATTTGATGGGTTTCTTAATTATTATCAAATTTCTGATTTGGGTTTTAATTTTTTCTAGGTTTTGACTTTAAGTCAAATCTAGAGGCAAAATGATAGCTTTGTCACACAAGACTCTGATGGCAACCAACAGATTCATATGCGAGATTTGTAATAAAGAGTTTAAGAGAGATCAAAATCTACAGCTACACCGAAGAGGCCATATAGGCACAAATAGAGGGAGGGAGAGAGAAAGGTTTAGGTTGACAATTTTTTTTTTTCTTGTAAAAAATGTGCGAAGAAGATGAACAGTGGTTCTAAGGATTATATTTGTGTTTGTAACAGAGGGATAAGGGCGTGTTTGGGTGTAGAAGTGAGAAGAGAGTGTCTTTGTATTTAGGTGTCAAAATAAGGGATAATATAGTATTTTCACGTTTATAAGGGTCAAAATAAGGGGTAATATAGTATTTTCAGGTTTATAAGGGTATCATGGTCTTTAAATTAAATATTTTGGGTTTAACGGCGAGTTTTAACCGGCGCCGTCGCCGGATGGGGTCATCTGCAACAAAAATGTATAGTTCAGGGGGTTTTTTGTAGTTTTTGTAGTTCAGGGGGATTTGTTGCTAATTAGCCAATAGTTCAGGGGAGTTTTTTGCATTTAACCCTTTAGTATATGTATTATAATAAGCGAACCAGGCCAAGGTCATGTTCTGTGGGCATACACGGGGTCTACCCTTCTATATATATATATATATATATATATATATATATATATAAAATATTAGAAAGTAGTGCAAGAGGAGTTCTCGAGGAGGACTGGAGGTGGAGTTTAGGCTATACCATTGGCGCTGTGTAGAAAAGCATTTGCATTTGCATTTATCGGACTTGACGATGGACCAATCAGGGCTCCTACTGCTGCTACTGAGCACGAGGAAGTGAAGCCAGTAGGATAGGAGGGATGGATGATGATGAGGTTGGTTAATTGGCTCATTCATTCCCCTTTTCACTGCCATAGATGTTTGTTCCGTAATATACAACCAACTTATACTTCTTTTGTATTTTATATGTTGTATTAAACATACCATTTGATAAAGAAGCTTATGTTAATTCTGTATATTGAAATTTAACTCTCTTGATTGTTAATTGTTTTCAATGTGTCTGACTAGTCCATTTGTAAAAAACACTACACTATACTTCAATCTCATGGTCTTAGCATGTGCACCCTATGTAACGACCTGCTCCACCACATGGTATGATATTATCCGCTTTGGGCCTAAGCGATTGTGATGACCCTGTGGGCGGGTGTGCTGTGGGCGGGTGCGAGAGACACTGTCAGGCTACCACACTGGCGAGTTACGGGTGCACAGTCCCACATCGCCTGGGTAGAGGAAAGGTGAAGTGCTTATATGTAAGTGTATCACCTCCAATTGATATGAGACATTTTTGGGTGAAGCCCAAGAGCAAAACCGTGCGGGCTTAGGCCCAAAGCGGACAATATCATACCATGTGGTGGAGCGGGTCGTTACAATGGCATCAGAGCCTGACCCAGCCGGAAGTGTGCCGACGGGAACGTCGGCCCTCCAAGGGGGGTGGATTGTGATGAACTTGTGAGCGGGTGTACCGTGGGCGGGTACAAGAGACACTGTCAGGCTACCACACTGGCGAGTTACGGGTGCACAAGTCCCACATCGCCTGGGTAGAGGAAAGGTGAAGTGCTTATATGTAAGTGTGTCACCTCCAATTGGTATGAGGCCTTTTGGGGTGAAGCCCAAGAACAAAACCGTGCGGGCTCAGGCCCAAAGCGGACAATATCATATTATGTGGTGGAGTGAGTCATTACAAATGGTATCAGAGCCTGACCCAACTGGAAGTGTGCAGACCGGGACGTAGGGCCTCCAAGGGGGGTGGATTGTGATGACCATGTGGGCGAGTGTGCCGTGGGAGGGTGCGAGAGACACTGTCAGGCTACCACACTGGTGAGCTACGGCTGCACAATCCCACATCGCCTGGGTAGAGGAAAGGTGAAGTGCTTATATGTAAGTATGTCACCTCCAATTGGTTTGAGGCCTTTTGGGGTGAAGCGCAAGAGCAAAACCGTGCGAGCTTAGGCTCAAAGCGGACAATATCATACCATGTGGTGGAGTGGGTTGTTACAAATGGTATCAGAGCCTGACCTAACCGGAAGTGTGCCGACGGGGACGTCGGGCCTCCAAGGAGGGTGGATTGTGATGACCCTGTGGGCGGGTGTGCTGTGGGCGGGTGCCAGAGACACTGTCAGGCTACCACACTGGCGAGCTATAGGTGCACAGTCCCACATCGCCTGGGTAGAGGAAAGGTGAAGTGCTTATATGTAAGTGTATCACCTCCAATTGATATGAGGCATTTTGGGGTGAAGCCCAAGAGCAAAACCGTGCGGGTTTAGGTCCAAAACGGACAATATCATACCATGTGGTGGAGCGGGTCGTTACACCCTAGGTATGGGAGTATTTGAAAGGGCCTACTCCTTGTTGTTGACCATTCGATTCTGATGGAAATTCCCTCTCCCTTCCTGTTGAATTGGAGTTGGAGAAAAACTTTCTTACACATGCAATGGGGTACCATCCGTCATGGTAATAACCGATTACATGTAATGAGACCATGAAAGTTTTTCTAACATGAATAGGGGTGCACAAAAAACCGTGGAATTGTCATTTTAAAGATGTGACAAAATTTTATTTCCATAGAAGTGTTATTCGTTTCTACTACATTAGATTCACCCACATCTTGAAATTTTAGTTATGTATGGGAAAAGCTAAATAGGTTTTTGGAGTTTTTGAAAAGTTATAAAATTATTACTATTAATTAAATAATAATTTATTTTTTTAATATTGTGGAGGGAAAAATCCCCTCCAGAAATAGAAAGTCCAACTGCATAGGAAACAGGCATGTTTATGAAGCAAATCACATGGTACAAGTACCTAAAAGTCCTACAAATGAAGCAAAACCATCCTCCATTGGATGATAACCATTCATTTATATTCAATAAGAAAGCGCATATGTTTGGTTATAAAAATAGCTGTTGAATATAAACTTCTATTTTAATTAAATTTGAACTTATAATTTTTATGTTTTTTTAAGAGTCGTAGGGATTATTTGGTTAGCCTAATTTAAATATAAATAAAAATAAAAATTTATATATAATAAAAATATATATATTATTATTTTTATTGCCGCCGTGTCTTATTTTTTAAATGTCAGTATTGCTGTATCCGTGTTGTGCTTCATAGAGGACAAATTTGTTATTTTACTAATTTGTTTATGTACTTTTCAAAGATGGACAATATTGTCCTATATTCTTTCGTGGTCCTTCGTTCCACACTGCCACACCATTGCTACCGTGGCCTTCCACCACCATTGTCTCCGTGGCCTTCCACCACCTATACCTTCCATCACCACCTTCTGCTTCCACCTTCCATCACCACCGCTAGCTTGGATGTATCACAAAAGTAGCACTCCTGCTAGGAAAGTTTCTCCATAGTACAAAATCTTTGAAATAAATAATAGCACTTCTCACAGGAAAGTTTCTTCATAGTACAAAATCTTTGAAACAAATAATAGTCTAATAAATAATTTTAATTGTTGAAAATCTTTAGCATACGTTTGAAATTTATAATTTTGGGCACAATTTGGTATAGCTAAATTAAATAAAAGATTCTAATTTGATTAACCGAGGAAATTAAGAACCTCTTGCAAACTTACCAAAAGGGTTGAACAGAGTTGGTTTGGAACTAGGAATAAATTGAGAATAATTATAAAGGGAATTAAGAACCTCTTGTCAACTTACCAAAAGGGTTGAACAGAGTTGGTTTGGAACTAGGAATAAATTGAGAATAATTATAAAGGGAATTAAGAACCTCTTGTCAACTTACCAAAAGGGTTGAACAGAGTTGGTTTGGAACTAGGAATAAATTGAGAATAACTATAAAAACAACTATGTGACATAGTCCCACATCGAAAAAATGTAAGAAGTTGATGAGAAAATTATAATTATAAAAATAGTACATAGACAACTTGAAAAAGGTATAATTGCGCTTGGGGCAATGACGCAGCTCATGAGGTTCTAATCGAGGCGCGTCAATTGCTTGTTGAAAACTATTTCCCTTTTCTCTTTGGCCTAGGTTCCACCTAGCTATCGAGAATTTTTGGAAGGGCTCCCTTCTTGGGTAAAGCCCTCCAATTCAGAGTTCCAAAATTTAGTTTCAAACCCACTATAACAACTCTTACCCTAACCAGACATAATATTGCCCTAACCAGATATAATATTGTCCGTTTCTAGCTCACCCGAACTAGGCTTTAAAACGCATTGTGAAGGTATTGAATCTATATATCATACTTACCCCATCCATACCCAGAAGCAATCGAAGAACTTGAACTATAAGAAAATTTCATAAATTTTTTATTTTTAAAATTATTTGTTAGTTCCATAAATCAAGGATAAAGTTTTGATGTCTACCCTATTTTATGGTGTTAAATTACTAGATTCTTCAGGATGGAGTTTGTATCATAAAGAGGAATGTCCATCAATTTGGCTTCAGGAATAGAGTTTTATTAGATGAAGTTTAGCTTTTAGAAAGAGGAATGTTCAAGGGGCAGATTTCCCTGACCTTTTGATTCTCTATAATGGGATGGAAGTTCCTCACAGGATAAATTCATCTTTCCGGTGTCAACGGATATTGCAAGGTTACATTCATGGTGGAAAAAGTTATCGGTTTTCCCGAAAAAAAATAAAAATAAAATAACAATGACATTATGACAAGAATTATAGCTCTAGATTGTAAACGCATACAAATGTATGTTCTTCTGAACACCAAATATTCCAATTATCTTGGCCATTTTGCACTTGGAATCTTATTGATATATGCTGTAGTGTCAAAATGAACAAAAGCCTTCACCATAAAAAGGTTTATCTTTCTTCTCCACATATCACATAGCCTGCTCTCTACTCAGGTAAGATGTGAATTATTGGTACATTGAGGCGCGCAGAACAAGAACGAAGGTAGATATTTGAAACTCTTTGCAAGTGAACAATGGAAGAATCACTGGAGTAACAATGGACAATGATTTAGCTAGATCTTCATAAATTAATGACGGAATGGTAAGTTTGGTAACTCAAAATAGAATAATCATGTAACATTTTCTTTTACAAGACCATTGGATTTTAATATCAATGGAAAGATGTCCACTCGGGCAACAATTGACGGCGAGCATATTCATTTTGAAAGCTTCGGCAAGTATTTGGTGAGTCCACACCAACCACTGTTACTTTGTTGTTCACTAGTTGGTGAAAACTATTTAAACAAAAATTCATTGCTGCAACTATTATTTATAACCTTATTTTTCAATAAAAAGTTGTTTTAAAATTGTTTATGCAGAATATGTAGGACTTCTATGAATTGTTTTCCTTCTGCATATGTGCCGTTGATAGAAAAACTTTCTGACTTAACTGTTCTATTATGTAAGAATTCATGTTTCAATTTTTATTCTACATATTCATTTGTTATGTAGCCTCATTTTATGCTAGAATAAGTTATATGTGGAAAGTAAGTTGATCCTTTTAACATGCACTGCAATTTTTAGCTTGGAAACAAGTGTTTTGTGTACATGTTTATTGAATTTGATCCCCTTAATATCTGATTTTTGGTTGAACTAAGAAGGGATGTTTTCATTGTATCATTTTTTTGACTTTTGGAACTTTGCAAATGCACATTGACAGTCATAAAGGGTGCACAAGTGCTGCTCAACATACCATTGGCAAATTCAATTTTAAGAAGAAAATAAACTCTTTTTTATTCACAACTTCTAAAAAAAAGTATTATACCCAAATTTTCAAATTTTTACTCACACCCTTAATTATAAATTATTTTCAACTATAAAATCCAGAACTAATCTAATTGTAGTTGTTGCCGTGAATAAAACTCTGGAAGGTAGGGGAGATCCTTTGATTTATCTGATGTACCAAGATCTTAAAATACTTTCTCAACTTGAAAGGCCAAAAAGTAAAGTTAAAGTTTCAGTAAGTTTGAATATATACCACTAAAAAATTGAAGAATATTACAAATTAAAAATAAACCAGGCCATCTATTAGTAAAAAAAATTAACTTATTTATTACATATATCACTCACAGAATAAGAAATATAATGGAATAAAAAATAATGAATATATTTTTATATGGATTTAAATAAATAAATAAATACTAAATATATATGTCATACCTAAGTATATAAAAGAGGTCTTAGTTCTCCCTCCCTCCGCCAATAAAAAGAGAAAAAAGAAAAATTTACAATCAGGGTATTATTTTATTGTTTTTCCTTGGAAAAATATCATGTTCAGAACTAGAAAATTGTGTTTAATATTTTTTTTATCCGGTTTTTTATTTTATTTTTTTTATCATGTTATATAAGCGGGACCATGACATTGAAGTCCATTGTAGTAGTTTTTTTTAACAAATGGACTACTCAGAAACATACAGAATGGCATTGTTTAATCATAACAATTTTCTTATTGAAGCGCCAGCCAAATTCTAAATCCCAGATAAAATAGAAACACGTAAATGCGGAATAATAAATAAAATAAAGCCTTGCAACGGGAATGAATGAGCCCATTAACCAACCTCAGGCATCATTCTTATTAATTCCCATCCTTCTCGCTCCACTCACCACTCGCTTAGCAGCTCACTAAACATTGACTCGTCAATAATACCCTGTGTATCCACAGGACGACGCGGCATGCTTCGCAGCTCACGCCAAATTGGACCAATCAGGGCGTCTACTGCTGCTACTGAGCACAAGGAAGTGAAGCCAGAAGGATACGAGGGATGGATGATGATGAGGTTGGTTAATTGGCTCATTTATTCCCATTTTCACTGCCATAGATGTTTCATTCTCTAATATATAACCAACTTATACTTCTTTTTGTATTTTATATGCTGTATCAAACATACCATTTGATAAAGAAGCTTGTGCTAATTCTGTATATTGAAATTTAACTCTCTTGATTGTTAATTGTTTTCAATGTTTCTGAGTAGTCCATTTGTAAAAAACACCCTGGGTATAGGAGTATTTGAAAGGATCTACTCCTTGTTTTATTGTGAGCATTCGATTGTGATGGAAATTCCTCCTCCCTTCTTGTTGAATTGGAGTTGGAGGAAAACTTACGGATACCGTCCGTCATGGTAATGACCAGTTGGATGTAATGGGACCAAGAGAGTTTTTTTCATTGGAGTAGGGGTGCACAAAAAAACGTAGTCTACTGGTTCTAAATTTTGGAATTGTCGTATAGACATGACAAAATTTTGTTTACATAGAAGTGTTCTTCGTTTCTACTACAGACTTATGGATATGATTACTTACCTGGATCGGAAGTGATAAGTGTTATTTATCGCATCCATTACAAAGTACTTGATACTATGTGTCCCAAGGCCATACGCAAAGACTCTAAAGGAGTAACAGCGTTATGGGATACTAACATGTACACATCAAATGTTGCCACAAAAAGGATGATTCCTTGGAGTGAGATAACATTTCCTGAACACTGGACGATTTCTAATGCCGTCCCAGCACAGCCAATTGCTAATCATAGCTTAGACTGTGTTATTCAGGACCAAGATGGTGATATTTTTCTGAATTTCAGAAAATCCATCGATCTATCTAGATCTACATCATCTAAAGGAAGTCATCTTCCTTATCGTGTTTCTTGTCCTCCTTCTCGACACTCGATCTCGTCAGATTGCAGTAAAGAGGGACTCCCTGAAAGAACACGGAGGATCGTTAGGATAATAGGAAATAATAATAACAGGTATGAAAACTTTAAATAGACTTACAGAAAACTTGCTTTATTGAACTGCCAAGGCTATTACAGAGAAATTTTACAGAAGGAAGGAAAGAAAATTGAAAGATACATAGAAGGGAAACATTGCCTTCTATTTATACATAAAATGGACTTGAAATTAATAATTTGAAGTCCGCATAGTGCATGGGATAGTGTGCTGGAATAATGCAGTCGGTCGGCCCACCACTAAGTGCTGTCTCCTTATCTGATGGAAAGTAGACATCTGATAAAGGAAATACTGTTGAATCAAAGACTTTGGGGAAAAGTTCTTTGGCTTCTTCTGTCGGCAGGATAAGAGGAATCTTTACTTTTTGGATGGATTCATCTTGTCCTTCAAATGTCCTGTGAGCGAATCCCAATAATCTGCTATTGAAATCTCATCTTCGGAATTAAGATCTTCATTGGGATCCTGAGCATAACCTGCAAGACAAGAAAACTGATTTCCATCTTGACTGGTCTGGCTAGACACTGATACCATGGATGTATCATCTCTTACTGTAGGGGTAGAGGATTCAAAGGATTTAACAAATTTATTCCTCATAAAATCCATGCATTTAACCATTAAATCTGCTTCGGTAATTAATGGTTGTTGTTTTCTGATCATATCTTTAACAAGTTCAAACGGGTTAAAGATTTCAGGTTCTGGAATAGTTAATTTTGGAATCTGGTCCATATATTCCATTGTTTTCTTTCTGATCTGATGGAGGAGGGCTTGAATAGGTTCTTGAGTCATGCCTGACCACCATCTGTAACAAAAGATCCTCTGAAGGACTGGTAACTTGTCAGTGGTATAACCACATTGGAAATCCAATTTCCAAATCCAAGGGATTCCAAATTCAGTAAAGAATAATAGGGTGGATTTCCCTATAGGAATATTATCCTGCCCTCGTAATTGAGGATGAAATTGTTGCCATGGCAAATATAATTTGCTAATTGATTCAGGCAACATATCCAGATCAGGGCCAAATATAGCCCACCAGGGTATAACCCAGTTGGGGAAATCAGTCTTAACTGATTGAGGACATATCTTGAAGAACCAAGAATGCCTATGCTTCGGATTTTGATAAAAGAACGAATATGTCCAAGCTGAGATATAATCCCAGTAATTGTAACTGTAACCATAGGATATTTTCCTTGGCAAATTGGGATTTAATCCCCAGTCACTAGGCCGTATAAGCCTCTTAAAGATAGCTTTACTATAAGTAAGAGGACTATCTTTGGAATTCGGAAATTGCTTCGTGTGGTTGATTTCCACAGAGGAAGTTTCAGTAAGAATGGCTTCATAGATATATCTATGGCGACCATCCGGTGCAGCATATTGTTGAGTTTGGAAATATCTGGAT